ACTGCTGGGTTTTTAACTACTGGGTTTATTGAAGAAAAGTATCTTATTGTGTTGAAATGTATTTTGAATTTTGAAGTATCTAATATTGGAAAAGTATCAATATGTTCAATATGTATCTTATTGTGAAGAAAAGTATCTACTGTTGGAAAAGTATTTTGAATTATTATTTAGTGTTCTTCTTGAATTTTTTTTTTCTAATTCAATATGTTCTTCTTTTTGAATTTTTTTTTCCTCTCTCATCTTTTGCCTTCATCAGAGCTTACTTTGACTGTGGATCATTCTGACCACTCTCATCGTTGTTCACTTCGGCTGCTCGGTTGGGTTAGTTTATTAATTTGGTTCTTATTTGTTTCTTTTGTTATTGCTTTGCCTTCGTCAGAGCTTAGTTTTTTTCCATTGAGTAAACTGAAGAAGAAGAAGAATCATAAATGTGTTAGTTTTTTTTCAAGTTGACTCTGTTTTTTATCACCAAAATCAGTTGGCTTATCACCAAAATCAGTTATTGCTTTGCTATGTTTTTTACCAATTTTTGTCTCTCCTCCTTTCTCTCAGTGTGTTGGGCCCATGCTATAGATTTTTTGAATTCCTACTGTCAGACATGAGATTTTTCAGTGTGTTGGTCCATGTCGAAAATGTTTCTGTCGAAAATGTTTCATCGATTGCATCCAAACCAAAAAAAAAAAAAGACATATAGTGAGCACTGTTCTGCATCAAAAGTTTGTTAGTACCCATTACCAAACACTAGAAAATAAATACATATAGTATGCATTAAAAGTTTTACATTATAAATATTTTGCTGTGTAAAATACTTTACATCCAAAATAATGTGTAGGGTTTTTAAATAATGAGCACTGTTCTGCATCAATAGCCTCCAGAATATCCAAATCTGACTTTTGTTTTGTTTGGGTTGTGCCTGAGTTTCATTCTAAGGTTTTCTTTATTCTGTTCCTTTATTTGCACTCCCCTATGGGAGTTAATAATCTTCGAATAATCCCAAAGCTTGAGAAAATTTCATTGTGCCTATTTGGTTAGCTTTTCGTTGAATTGGAATATTTTTGAAGAAGAATTCCCATTAATGTAAGGGATTCCTTTCATGTTTTGCTGATTTGAAGAGAAAACTTAAATTTATTGACGTGTATTGAATTTGATAGTAAATCCTTAGAAAAATCATAAATGGTATTGACTCTAAAAGAAAGATTGAAAATGCAAGCACAGAGTTCGCTAGGCATGTAGAATTTGGCTAATTACATTTGGCGTAGGTGTGTTGGTCTGTCTTGACCAACAAATTTCAACGTAATCATAAGTGTGTTGGTGCATTTGAAAATCTTGCCCGCAATATTTTATGTATTTGGCAAATTTCATCTTCTAAAATGTTCTTTTAAACTGTGGAATTGTATCTATAACTATTATGGGGACATGGACCAACCCCGTCATCTCCACCCTGCATTTTCAATGTGTTTACTTCCAATATTTAGCCATTAATTTGGTTTTTTCAGAGTCATAGCAACTTCCTTTGTTCAGAGTCATGCTAATAATTTTTAAGTTATTTACAAAACCAAACAAGCATTAGACATGCAGAAGTATAGCATGGGCCAGTGAGTGCGAAGTCCATGTCCATGCAGTGTTGTTAGTTTGAAATTTACTATTTCAGTTGTTATGGGACTCAATTTGGGCAAAACAACCCAAAGAATCTATTGTTAACAAATAGATTCTGCTTCTGCTATGTTGTGCATTTATAAAATTTGTTCAAAATCTGTTGTGCATTTATAAAATTTTAATTTTTTTTTCAAAATCTGTTCTTGAAAATCTGTTTTTCAAACATGGATACTTCTTACAAGTTAATAATTTTGTTATGAGTACAAAATATAAATTAACAGTTTCACAAAATATTAAAATTAATATACATTTTTTGTTAAATTGATGCTTCTTACAATGTAATAATTTTCTTATGAGTACAAAATATAAATTAACAGTTTCCAAAAATATTAAATTTAATATACAATTTTTGTTAAATTAATTAGTTGTTCAATTTTTTTTTCCCACTTTTTGGGCAAAACAACACAGAAATCTACTGTTATCCCTCAAACATGGATGCTTCTGCCATATATTTTTTTCTTTAAATTTTTAAATTTTTGTTTTCAAAATCTGTTGTGCAGTTATATTACTATTTTTTTTTTTTTTTTCAAAATCTGTTCTTCAAACATAGATGCTTCTTACAATGTAATAATTTTCTTATGAGTACAAAATATAAATTAACAGTTTTCAAAAATATTAAATTTAATATACAATTTTTGTTAAATTAATTAGTTGTTCAATTTTTTTTCCCCACTTTTTGGGCAAAACAACCCAGCCAATTTGTTGTCATCCCTCAAACTTGGATGCTCCTGATATGTTTTTATTTTTATTTTTATTTTTTAAAATCTGTTGTGCATTTACAAATTTTTCTTTTTTTTTTCCCTTCAAAATCTGTTCTTCAAGCAGGATGCTTCTTACATTTTAATAATGTTATTCTGAGTACATTAAATAAATTACCAGTTTCCAAATAATTTTGAGGTTTACAAACACACACACCCCTGAGTACATTAAGGGTAAATTACAAACACACCCCTGAGGTTTACTCAAATTATAAATTACTCCCTGTAGTTTTAGAAATTACATTATGCCTTCCTAAGGTTTCTAATTTTATAACAAATAGGTCATTTTATTAATAAATCTTCAAGTTAATTAACAGTTTTTAATAATGTTAAAATTTTATTTTAATTAATAATTCAGATAATTTTATTATGGTATAAATGAACAGTTAGAAATTTCACTTTTTCAATTAGTTTTTTTAAATAAAAAATTCTGACAGGGAGGTATTTGTAATTTTCTAAACCACAAGGGACATTTCGTATTTTAAGTAAATCTCAGAAGATGTATTTGTAATTTATCCTTAAATTAATTAGTTGTTCAACTTTTTCCCACTTTTTAGGCAAAACAATTCACCTAAGTAGAGCATGGCCCTCTTTCAGAGGTGTGTTGAACTTTATTTCCTCCGTGCTTTGAATCTCAAACTTTTTATAATTTTTTTAGTTTCAGGAGATGTGTTGAACTTTTAGTTTGCTTTGAAATGTTTGCACCTATGGTATGTGAAGTTGTAATATTTTCAATTTCTTTTCAGATTTTCCCTCTACTGCTCTCCAGCCCTGTTCTTCTTCTTCCATACCCTCGCTCCCGAAACTGCTGCTCTCCAGGTAAGATCACTCTTTTCATTTTATGTGGTGACTATGTACTAGATTTTATTTGTTTATAGATTGTATACATTTTATTTGGATATAGATTGTATAGATTTTATTTGGATATACATTGTATAGATTTTTTTATTTATATATAGATTTTTTACAAAGAATCTGGATTGTATACATTTTTTATATATATTATCTTTGTGAGTATATTTTTTACAAGATCATGTTTTTTTGATCGGCTATTAACAAGATCATGTTGGCTGCTATGATATACCTAATGGGTTCTTCCAGATTTGATTGTCCCAATATTGCATTAGTTTTGTTACTCATATTGAAATTTAGCTCATTCTGATTTCTTTTTATTTCTTCCTTTGATGTATGCATATTCATTCTCTGGTTTATGAATTGTATATTCTAACATTCGATGAAGTTTTAAGGAATGAGGGCCAGCTAATAGTCTAACATGTTCAATGAGTTTTATTTATATTATGTCTAGATATTGATTTGTGATTATATATATATACATACATATTGGAATCATATATGTGTATGTATATGTGTATGTATGTACATATATATATTATGTATATATACATATATATATTATGTGTATATGCTTATTTGTATATGTGTATGTATGTACATATATATATTATGTATATATACATATATATATTATGTGTATATGCTTATTGGGCAAAACAAACCAGAGAATTTGTTGTTATCCCTCAAACATGGATGTTCTGATATGTTTTTTTTTTTTTTTTTCAAAATTTTTTGGGCATTTATATATTTTTTTTTTTTTCAAAATCTGTTCTTCAAACATAGATGCTTCTTACAATGTAATAAATTTCTTATGAGTACAAAATATAAATTAACAATTTTCAAAAATATTAAATTTAATATACAATTTTTGTTAAATTAATTAGTTGTTCAATTTTTTTTCCCCATTTTTTGGGCAAAACAACCCAGCCAATTTGTTGTCATCCCTCAAACTTGGATGCTCCTGATATGTTTTTATATTTATTTTTATTTTTTAAAATCTGTTGTGCATTTACAAATTTTTCTTTTTTTTTTCCCCTTCAAAATCTGTTCTTCAAGCAGGATGCTTCTTACATTTTAATAATGTTATTCTGAGTACATTAAATAAATTACCAGTTTCCAAATAATTTTGAGGTTTACAAACACACACACCCCTGAGTACATTAAGGGTAAATTATAAACACACCCCTGAGGTTTACTCAAATTATAAATTACTCCCTGTAGTTTTAGAAATTACATTATGCCTTCCTAAGGTTTCTAATTTTATAACAAATAGGGCATTTTATTAATAAATCTTCAAGTTAATTAATAGTTTTTAATAATGTTAAAATTTTATTTCAATTAATAATTCAGATAATTTTATTATGGTATACATGAACAGTTAGAAATTTCACTTTGTCAATTAATTTTTTTAAATAAAAAATTCTGACAGAGAGGTATTTGTAATTTTCTAAACCACTGGAGACAATTCGTATTTTAAGCAAATTTCAGGAGATGTATTTGTAATTTATCCTTAAATTGATTAGTTGTTCAACTTTTTCCCACTTTTTAGGCAAAACAACTCACTTAAGTATAGCATGGCCCTGTTTCAGAGGTGTGTTGAACTTTATTTCCACCGTGTCTTACCTTAATGGATTATGAGAGAAATGTTTGCTTTGAATCTCAAACTTTTTATATTTTTTTAGTTTCAGGAGATGTGTTGAACTTTTAGTTTGCTTTGAAATGTTTGCACCTATGGTATGTGAAGTTGTAATATTTTCAATTTCTTTTCAAATTTTCCCTCTGCTACTCTCCAGCCCTGTTCTTCTTCTTCCATACCCTCGCTCCCGAAACTGCTGCTCTCCAGGTAAGATCACTCTTTTCATTTTATGTGGTGACTATGTACTAGATTTTATTTGGATATAGATTGTATAGATTTTTTTATAGATTCTATATATTTTTTACAAAGAATTTGGATATAGATTGTATAGATTTTATTTAGATATACATTGTATAGATTTTTTTATTTATATATAGATTTTTTACAAAGAATCTGGATTGTATACATTTTTTATATATATTATCTTTGTGAGTATATTTTTTACAAGATCATGTTTTTTTGATCAGCTATTAACAAGATCATGTTGGCTGCTATGATATATCTAATGGGCTCTTCCAGATTTGATTGTCCCAATATTGCATTAGTTTTGTTACTCATGTTGAAATTTAACTCATTCTGATTTCTTTTTATTTCTTCCTTTGATGTATGCATATTCATTCTTTGGTTTATGAATTGTATATTCTAACATTCGATGAAGTTTTAAGGAATGAGGGCCATCTAATAGTCTAACATGTTCAATGAGTTTTATTTATATTATGTCTAGTGTTAATTAACAGAAAATTACAAGCCATATGAAGAGAAGGAATGGTATTTCTTTACACCAAGAGATCGAAAGTATAAGAATGGGAAGCGGCCAAATCGAGCTGCAGGTGATGGATACTGGAAGGTTACCGGTACTAATAAGACTGTGAGATTTATGGGTGCCGATGTTGGCTTTAGAACCGCATTAGTATTCTACAAAGGAATACCTCCCAAAGGTGAAAAAACCAACTGGATTACGCATGAATATCAATTACCAAACAATCATCCTAAGGCTCCAACTGTTGGAAATGAAATGAGGGCAGGTTACCTGATATGGGTTTGTAGAGTCGTACCTTAAGTTGATGAGATACATGACCTGTGAAATTTTGACAGTACCATATGAAATTGATGTCTGTGGTGGTGACCATTGTTTTTTACTGGGGTTAGAGAAATAGACGTTTTGATGCCCATTTGTGAGGAAAATGAAGAGTAGTGGTAGATGGGGAAAAGAGATGAGGGTAGTGATGGATCATGGTAAGGGTAGCAAATGACTGTCAACACCAAAATAAAGGGAAAAAAATTGTTAGACTGTTTAAATGGCCCATAGAAATGAATGGTTAGAATTAAAATAATTTCAAGTTAGGATTGATTTGTTACCAAGGTCAAGATTTTGAAGTTTTTTTTCTTTTTTAAATTTCCCAAAAATCAATATATGAAACCATGAATTGCTTGGTATATTTGTCATTTATCCTAGGTATGCATACAATTATAAGGGCAGGCTCTAAATGCAATTAAAATTTTAGGATGCATTTAAAGCCTCCCAACTACAGTCATATACCACAAATATAAATAATGTCATAGATGGACGAAGAGTTACAGTACAATGTAACCAACTCCTTGCCAATTTACTGTAACTGACTCCTTGCCAAAGTCAACAACAAGCACGAAGGCAGTGTAATTCTATGAACACAAAAAGTTAAAACTTTTTTTTAACTACCTAATAAAATGAAAGGAAAATTCTACTTACACAAAGTTTTAGCTCACTATACCTGTTATTGTAATATTTTTCTTCTTTTATAGGATTACTATTAAGAAGTAAAAAACCTTATTGTTTTTCTTTGATTAACCTCTGATCATTTTTTGTAAAGGTTTTATCTGATCGGAATTTGGATTTGAGTTCATCTGCAATCTATGATTTTGTCAGTCAAAGTGACGTTATTGAATTTATTTATTTATTTAATTTTGTTATTTTGATTATCAATTTTATTCACTTTATAGTTTCTTACATTGGTTTGACATCGATTACTGATTGACACGATTAGGGTTTTGCTACCTTTGTTGAGATATGTTCTTCCATTTTTTTTTAATAGGGAATTGATTTTAGAAGATTTTGTATCTGTTTAATTTTAGTTAAATGTGAATTGGGATTTCTGAGATGAAAAGTAATTGTGGATTTGCTGAATAATGTCATATGGGTATTTGTAACAAGCCCGCGGGGGACCTCGCTACAGCTCGGACTCGACTTTTCGTAGTCACGGTTCTAAGTCTGAACCAAAGAGTCCAAATTCGGCAAATCGTTTTGAGAAAACAGATTTTTGAAAGAAGTGCCAAACATGGACTGCCGATTCCTCTAGACAATTTGTCACGACCCCATTCCGCCACTAGTAGAATGGTACCATGATGGCCAATAATCTAAGATTACCGAAGGCCAACTTTCAAGATTCATACACAATCGGAGTATTACATATGGGGCTAACATGTGCGGAAGCAGTATATACAAATCTAATTAGTCCATAAGAACTGTGCATAAGTCAAATGAAATGGCATACATCTTTACATAACTTTACAACTTGGATACAATAAAATGAAATACAAAATACATCTTGACCAAAAGGCTTCTCGAGCCATCATATACAAAATACAAAGAAATGCAAGCTAAGAAGCATGATCTTCAAGATGCTACAAAATGCAAATCCAAAACAAGTTGCAAGGCACATCTAGGCGTCGTTGCCGTCTTGCTCATCACCTACATATATATAGAGAGGGTGAGCTTGGATACTCAGTGAATGGTACAAATAATGAAGGGTTTGCATGAATAATATTTAGATCTTTATCAAAGCGATACACATTATGTCTCGCACAAAATCAAAGACAAAACAAGTTCAGCTAACAAGTCTTTCAAGCTTCATCAATCAAAGTCTTTCAAGTTTCAAGGGGTGACATTAATAAAGGTTGTGCTACAATTGCTTATAGTCCCCTAGCACGTACGGACTTTCAAAGGTTGTGCTACAAATGCTTATAGTCCCCTAGCACGTACAGACTTTCAAAGGTTGTGCTACAAATGCTTATAGTCCCCTAGCACGTACGGACTTTCAAAGGTTGTTATCCAAAATAAGACTAACACTTAATACACAAAATAGGGATAATCATTCATGCTTAACAAATACTTTTCAAAACAAAGCAAAGCTTTATCAAAACTTTATAACATAGCTTTATTAAAAATACCACTCACATAGTTCTTCAAGGTCGGGGTCAAGCGAGAGTCCAAATCCTACAAACACATGGTAAAGTCTATTGAATGCACTTTCAAACAAGCTTTACATGAATGCAAATGATCTCAGCATTCCTTCAAAACTAAGTCGAGACAAAACAAAACACTGCTTCTCATCTCGGGAAAACTTGCTGGGTACCAACTAGGTCTTGGCCGAGGTCCCACACCTCCTTGCCGAGGTGTGGCCTCCGATGGCCACATTCAAGGAAATGAAGTCGGGAAAATCTGGGTTTCCCTTTCTTGAAGAACATGAACATGAAGAACATGGATGCAAAGATCATAACTTATCATCACAAAATCTGAGATTTCATGATATGAATTCAAAAACATGGACCTGGGTATCCATACTCGAAGATCTTATAAAAACAAACACAAAAACATGAATCTTGATACAAGCTTTCGGATCAAACAAGGCTTTTATTCAAGAACACATGAATATCACTTTCTCTTTCTAAAACCAAATTTTAAATCGATGCATGGTTTGCAAATCAGGTTCGATCATGCAATGCAGCTAATGGTCAATAAGAACAACAAGAGTAGATCAAGATTCTAACTTCAAGACGCAAATCTAACGGCTCAAGGTGTGAAGATCAAGCTTGAAAATCTATTCCCTTTCTAAGAACTCCTTCTCCCTCTTCTAGAGCTTCTCTCTCCTCAAGAACAAAGACATATAACAAATGATACATTCCTCTTTCTGTCGGTTGATTTAACACTCAGCTCGGACACGTGGCAACGGCTGGTTGGCTCTATCAAGATTCTAACTTCAAGACGCAAATCTAATGGCTCAAGGTGTGAAGATCAAGCTTGGAAATCTATTCCCTTTCTAAGAACTCCTTCTCCCTCTTCTAGAGCTTCTCTCTCCTCAAGAACAAAGACATATAACAAATGATACATTCCTCTTTCTATCGGTTGATTTAACACTCAGCTCGGACACGTGGCAACGGCTGGTTGGCTCTACTCAAAAGGTGACTGAGTGAAAAGACAAGACTATGACAAAGTGTGTTCAACAAGCAAGATGGCATGGGCACTCCGACCGATAATGATCTCGGCTAAGGACAAGGCATCGGCAAGTAAGGGAACAATGATCTCGGCTAGGAAGGACAACACTTGGCCTAGCTGTGCCACACCTCGGCCTAGATGTGCCACACCTCGGTCTAGGTCGCACCAATTCGGGAACAAGATCACTAGGTGCAGGGATAACATTTCGGCCTAGATAATGACATCTCGGCCAATATGCCAGGGTGAAGGTGAAGGTCAGTCAAGGTGATCCCAAGATGGTCCTAGGCATAAGAGGCTCAAAGGTGACCTAGGCTTAGGATGACCTCGGCTACACACACCAAGCAACAAACAAAGCAAAGCAAACAACACTTAAGCAAAACAAGACAAGATCAGTAATGCAAGCTTAACAAGACAAAATCGTATAAATGCATGAGAGCATGACCAAGATGGAGTGAGGGTTGCTACACAATCACAAATTTATTGTGTATGATCTTTCCATTTTACTTTTTGTTTGAACCCTTTACTAATTTGACCTAATCTATATATTTGCAATTTGTTCTTCAAGACTCAATCTTTTGTTTGTAAAGGTTTTATCTGCTCGAAATTTGGATTTGAATTCATCTGCAATCTATGATTTTGTCGGCCAAAGTGGCGTTCTTGAATTTATACATTTGGAAACCTATATTGGGAAGATGATTGTCCTTTTTCATATTATTAGCCTGTAGTTTTTTTATAAGAAAAATAACATTGATTTGAGTTCATTTTGCAAAGCAATAAAATGCTATAATTGCTAAGCAGAAGATGGAAAGCAATAAATAACATTGATTTGTGTTCATTTTGCAAAGCAATAAAAATAACATTGTTTGTCGTAGTTTCTACTGTAGAAACTGTGACTTATGTGTGTGCGCGCCGCGCACGTTTGAGATGTTCCTATCTGTTCAAACATCTTTGTATGTTGGAATAAGGTTGCAGTTTTTATTATATTCCAGGTTATGTATTTCCTTTTACCTTTTCACATAGTGGTAATCATCTCTTTACTTATAGGCTTTTATTTTTATTATTCTTCTTCTTCTTCTTCTTCTTCTTCTTCTTCTTCTTCTTCTTCTTTTATTTCTATTTTTATTTTTTATATTAAAAAAAAATGGGATTCGTGCATTTTAATCTTAATATTATTTAAAGTTTGGTAGGCTTATATGCCAGCAAACTGGGTTCCATTTTTTTAAAAAAAAAAATTGGTGGGTTTGGATCCGGATCAACATTCTTTATTTGTTTATAGATTTTAAATTGAATGTCTAAATCTGGGGAATCACTATCCTCAATTGGGATAGTAATCTCATTAAATATGCTATCATACACTTGAGCCACACCAAATCACAGAAATATCCACGAATCCCATTTTGACTTATGGGTGGAAAATTGGTGGGTTTGGCATTTTCCACCCATAAATCACAATACCGGCCCGAAATGGAGTAATTGGGTTATGTGTACAATTGTGGATACTTTCTAGTGTGCATTTTAGTTTTAATTTCTTTTAAATTGCAGAGAACTAGCTGGTGTGCATTATTTGATATTTAATTTTTTTTATATTTGATTTGTTTGGAATTGTATAGTCTGTTAAATATATTTTTTTAACTGCATTTTAATCTTAATATTATTTACACCGTGCCTTTAGGCACGGGCATACGCTAGTTATCTATAAAGGAATATGATGATTTGACATTTATTTTAATTTTTAAAATTTTAAAATATCAACTTTCAAATTGAAAACACTAAAAAAAAAAATTATGTGCAAAAAAAAAAAAAACTATTGGATAGTTGGATCAAACCAATAAATAGAAGTTTTAAATGATGATGGAACATTGATATGCAAAACTAAAAAATAAAAAATAAAAATAACAAGTTTAAAAAAAAAAAAAAACTGATAATATTCTCAGTTTCAAAACTGAAAAAAAAAAATTGATAATGTTCTCGATTTTATTGGATTAGTTGAATCAAACCAATAAATAGAGGGACAAAAACGTTTAATCTTATGCTCTGTTTTTTTCCATCAATTAATGAAACAATTATCTAGAACATTTACTATACAAAATTGATAATGTTCTTAATTTTTAAAATTGAAAAACTAAACAAAATTGATAATGTTCTTAGTTTTAAAAATTGAAAAAAAAAACCTGATAATATTCTCAATTTTACTAAATATAATTTATTAGGTCACAAAATCTTAAGTAGGACCTGAACTACCATAATATTTATAAATAAAACTTTTAAGCAATTAACTCATTATTTTTTTGTTATTATTTTGTATCACTACTTCCATATTATTATAGAAAGAAGAAAGATGATGTGCCCTTTCCTAACTTGGGATCATGGGATGGAGGTCGTATTATATTTTAATATAAAAAAATTGCTAAATTTTTTAACTATATATAATCACTAAATTTATCTCTAATGATGTGTTAAAAATTGAGTTTTATATAATAATTAATTTTTTAACCAATCAATTATTGAAATGAAGTAATGGGTAAATTTAAAAGTTGTTTTAAAAATTTTAATAAACTTTTTCCGACTCAAATAAAAAATCAAGTCCTGACATATAGACAGAAGTGTAATAAAATTTTCTTGATAAGTTGAAAAAATAATTACTTTTTATAAATTTATGTATATATATTTTTAATTTTTATTTGGACTAAAAAATTTTGCTAAAAGATAGTAATTTTATTTGGAAACGAGCCGGATTCATTTTTTTCCCCTTAAAAAACACAATTAACGAATTGAGCAATTAGTTAGTAGTTGTATTATCGTTTCTTTGCCATACGAACCTAATTATACTTCTCACAATAGTTAATGAGACACAAAAAACATTGAGAGGCAATGCTCTCCCAAATTCAAATCTTAATATTAGTTAATAATAAAAATAAATAATATGCAGCACACCCCGCTTTCTTTCGCCTCAGCATGTTCAGAATTTTAATTCCTTCAAAATCTCCATTTTAACTGTTAATGTCTATATATCTTTAACAAATATCTCATCATTAATTCCTTATCTCTCAAAATTTAAACTTACCTGTCTTAGGGATTATTTGAAATGACCTAAATAAGTGTACATTTTGTCTTTTTACGAAAAGATGTGCAGAAAAATAAAGAGATGATGTAATGAAAAAAAGATAAAAAGATAAAAAAATGTGTACATTATAGAACTTAGCCTTAATTTGTCTTTATAACATGTCCATTCTCAATATGGATTCCTCTCACATCTCTCGTCTATTGCAACAAAGGGGGTGTACATTATAGAACTTTCCTAAGGTCTCTATAGGATTTACTGATCACAAGGACATGGTATATAAGAACTTTGCTCTCTCTGAAACAAGAATGCAAACATTTCGATCCATCAAATGAAACATGTGGAACATGGTCATTAACACAGTTGTTTATGACAAGTTGCTTACACAATCCCTATGCCAAATCCAATTGAACTAGAATTGTATTTGCAATACTAACAATTTTGGATGGTGTGGAGAAGGTGGTTTGGAAATACTATTTGGATCCAGTAGGACGCTTGTGATCCTTAGCTAGTCACCTGAAAATGAATAAACACTTCGGTCGGGGGTGCCGGAATTAGCACTCCGACGGATAAGTCAGTGTATACTCTCTTGGTTGCTTATATCTCAAGTTAAACTTACTTGTTCTCACATACCTTTTTTAGCTGATGCTCTTCTTATTTATAGTCGTCCTTGATGTTGATGGTTGGGCCCACCTTTCGTCCAACGAACAACCGCTCATTGGGCTACTTGTTCATATTCGGCTCGGTTTACACCTGATTCTTCGGCTGATCTGGTTATTCGGCCTCTGTCCCTCTGAGATAGAGCCGTATAGTACATGACTTGATTTCCTTCTTTAAGAAATTAATTTGATAAAAATAAATATCAAAAATATATTTTTTAATTTTTAAAAATTATTTTTATCTACCAAAGATAAAATTATGTAAAATTGATAAATCTTTTACATATTAATTTATTACCAAATTAATTTTTATTATGTGTTTAGATGATAATCATGTAATGGATGATTGTTAGGCTTTTAATTTGTAATCGATATATTTAATATTTAATATATTAAATCTTTTTAGTTTTGGATTTTTTAATTTAATGGATTGGTTTAATAATGATATCAAAATTGTCATCTTATTTGACTTTTGAAAAAATAAAAAATAATTTAATGAAATTAAAAACAATCACATATTACATAATCACCATCCAAACACATAATAAAAATTAATTTGATAAAAAATAAATAAATAAATTTTTAAAAGATTTATCAATTTTACATAATTTTATCTTTGCAGGGTAGAAATAACTTTAAAAAATTCAAAAATATTTTTTTAACATTTATTTTTGTCAAATTAGTTTATATTTTATCAAATTGACGATTTTTCCCTTGAAATTGAGTAATGATATCTTCAATTGTTCTTATTTGAAACAATATTCAAAATTCAAAGTCAAATGTGTCACAATTGAAAAGTTAGGAACTGAAGTAACACGAGTTGCAAACTATAAAGACTGTTAGTATACTTTGCCCTTTAAATTATTACTAAATTATCTCCTTAAGTTTATTTTGAGAAGTAAATTAAGGCTTAATTTAGAAACTTAGTTTAAAGTTAAATTTTAATTTTTTATTTATTTTAGATCGCATCATTTTTTTATTTTTTTACATATTTTTTTAAAAAAAATTCAACAAAAATCAAAAAATCAACTTGTACGGGAAATAAATAAACCTTCTCGTATAATCTTGTTGATCAAGATTGCGCTCCTCCGTACGTCGTCGCTTTATTCCCTGAAAACACAAACGTGAGCTAGCCGACGGGTGTGTGCCGGATACCTCTCCGATGCCTAAGTCAGCAAAATAGACAAAGAAAAAAAGCTCTGTATATTTGATAATCAAAATTGTGTTACCTCTCCATAGGTGATGTTGGTAAGCTTTTATAGGTTCCGTGTGGCACAATCCAAGTAGGACTCTTGCTCCTCCATGTAGAGTCCTCCTAGGATTCATACTCCTGAAAGATAATACCTATCCTTCAACACCCCCCTCACTGTTTAAACCAAGTGAGATGGTTTTACCATGGTCGGACTCCAATGTGGCTGAGGTATGCATGGCTTATGCTTAGCCATAGAACAGACCGAACTATCCTTAGTTTGGTTCGTCCTTTTGCTGCCCTTACCTTAGTTCCTCCTGTAGAAACCGTGGTAGGTCTAAACCGAGCTAACTTTTAGCAAGGTTTAGACCAAGCTAACCATACTGCGCCATAACCGATATAAGTTTTAGTATGGTGACCGAGCTAACCTCCTTGGGACCGGAGTAACTTTACACCTCTCTTGGGCCGGAGTAACTTCATGACCTTTTTACTCAGCCCTTCGCACTGTGGCCCATAACGGCCCATTACCCAGCTCAGCCCAATTTTCATATAAATTACCCTCTCAATTGCCCCTTAATTCCATCTGCGCAGCATGATAGGGGTTACCAGTACGCAGCCGAGCTAAAAAAGTTTCTGCCTTTTCAGCCGAACTAAACCCCTTTAGTCCTTCCAGCAGAGTTAAAAACTCTTAAGCTCTTCAGCCGAACTAAATTCCATACCGGGCTCAGCTTATCCGGTCAAAACGTCCCTTCAATCACAGCAACTGAATCGATTCTCATTTCAATGACACGTGGCACGCTCTAATTAGCTAAAGGC